GTTCCGATGATATTAGAGAAAGAAAATATACTTTAGAGATGGAACGAACAGATCGGAGAACTATTCCTCGACGAAAGAGAACATCTGGCAATACACAGAAATAACGAAGGAATAGAAATTTTAAAATCTGAAGTGGAATCAGTATTGGCCAAATTGAACAGAAGCAAAGGAACAGGACCAAACAGAATCGTAACAGAAATGCTAGCAACTTTAGATTTCGACATTGACAAGATTATAAACTTAATAATTGATATATACAACAATGGTGAGATGCTGGAAGACCGAAGTAGATGCATTTTCCTAGCACTGCATAAGAAGTCAAGTGCAAAAGAATGTGAACTCCATCAGGCAATAAGCCTAATGAGCCATATAACAAAACTTGTCCTCCGAATTTGTATGAATAGAGCGCGCAGCAGAATCAGGGTGGATATAAAAGATGAACAGTGTAGGTTCGTTAAACATACGAGGGCAAGGAATGCAATATTTATGTTCAGAATGATATCAATTATAGTAATACAAATGCAGAACATCTGTGTGTTTTATAAATTATGTAAAATCGTTTGATAAAGTATGTCATAAGGAACAGTTGATAATGTTCAGCATGAAACAAGTACAGTAATTTACATTTTTTTTAAGCGTTTCACCCCAAGCAAGGCGGGAAGCCACTAGGACGCAAGGGGTTACAGAAAATTTGGAGCAAGATCAGATAGGAGTGATAGAAGAAAGGACGAGGAGAAGGATAGTGGATAGATCAAGGCAACTGGAGATACAGAGGCCAGTGAGAGAGAGAGAGAGAGAGAGAGAGAGAGAGAGAGAGTGTGTGTACCGGGAACCCCTTCCTAAACAAGAAACAAGGTGTAAGCCTCTACTCATGTTCAAGAGAAGGGGGAGGAGTGTGGACCGGGCGGTAGGAAAGCCTACCTACTCCTATTACATATAACATATACAACAACAACTAAAACAGAGGTAACGATGAGAGGGGGAGGTAATTTGCAAAGAGTCCTGGCTGACACTTGCATTTACCCTTTCGCAACATTAAGTTTTAAGTTTTAACTTAGTATAAGTCCCATTGTCTATTCTAAAAAGAAATTGAAGAAAATAGGGTTATCCGGATTTAATGCCATGTCGTATTGGGATAGAGAAAGATGCCTTCTAAAAGCTAAGCAAAGTATTAAAAACAGAAAAAGAAAATTCGTTTAAAACAAAAGAAAGAGTACTGAACTATTCTACAATACCAGTCCTCCTATATAGTAATGAATTGCCGGACAATCTCCTCAAAGATAAACGATAGATTTGACGTAACAGAAATGTGATTCTACAGAAGGAGGCTGAGAATACAATGGACCAAATATGGGAGCAATGACGAAAATTTAGAGAAAATGGAAACAAAAAAGGACTTTTATACTTAATATCAGGAAGATACAGTTGGTATTTTCTAGAGCACATAACGAGAAAAGAGGGCCTGGAAAATTCAACACCCACAGGACAGAGGAAAACCTACCTGGTGAGATTGAGTGAATGGACGGCGGGACAAGGTTTGGAAGAGATAGGAAAAAGAGAAAATTTATTAAGAGCTACAAAACATGGATAGCTATCATCGCCAACGTCCTTAAGGGACACAGCACATAGAAGTCCATTTAGTATGCAGGCGATTATAGCTCTCCACAACTTCCGATTCTTGTTCGCTTTTAATATCACTCCTTATCCCTTTTTTGTAATCCAATTGTTACTGGCTATTTCCATCTATTGTGAGTATCAATTTCGCCATACCGTCTTTCCTCATTATGTGTCGTAGAAATTCTCTCTCTTTATGATTCTATGTATGCTTTTGTTTCCATTTCTCTTTGAAATTTCTCATTGCTTACACGCTCCATCCATAGTATTCTCGCCATTTCTCGGCTTTAAATTAATTTTATATAATTTAAATTTGAATGTAATCTTAAATAATTTAAATACAATTTTATATAATTTATATAATTGTATAATGTTGCTGTTATCTATGTACTGTCTTTCGTTAACCGAGAAAGAACGCACAGGTAAATCCTTACACACTTACGCATGCGCACTGTTGCTTTAAAGATGGTATTACGCATATGAAATTTTAACTTCAGGTTTGCCGACTCTTTTTTCGACTAGAATTATTTCTGATTTCGAAAACCCAATAGGAAAAGAACACTTTTTTTTTTTTTCCAAATTAAAAGCGACGGAGATTTTTTTTTTTTTTCATAGACAACCAACTAACCAAACAAAATTATTTTTATAACTGATGGGAATAAATATTTCCGTTCACATGCCTAACAAGGGAAAAAACATGTTTCGCGCGTCGTCTCCAGGTAACGAAGCTGTCATACCACATCTGCTATAAATGAATGATGCAATATTGAAATTTAGGCGCCAGAGAACTTGACGAAGTAGAAAACTCCGTGGATACGCTCGATGAGAAATAAAGTTGCAAGAACAAGTATGAGAACTGCTGTGAAGAGGAAAAAAGTCATGACAACAAATCCTGTTTTGAAAGTCGGAAATTATGCTTTTAGTGGTCTCGCTGCTAAAGAAAAGTCTGTGATATATTTCTATGAAAGTGAATCACTCAAGAACGCACAACTGGAATTAATTATTGGGTTACCAGCATTTGTTCTGAGTATATGTTTTATATAGACGAAACAACAAAAACTAAATTAATGGGTTATGATTTGCAATGTTTACGGACTATTGTCGGCATCTTTGTTATTGAGAAAAATTCGCATGTAAATAGTGTAAGTAATAATAACTCCTCAGCCCAGAAATTTAGATATAAATTAATAGTTCCTTTCTATAAACAAAAATATGAAGTGTCTTTTTTGACACGGACGAACAAACATGTCCAACACATAACGTTAAAAAAGCAGACGTGTTTATACGGCCATCTTTAATTTTTTTAATGCCTTTTCTGAGCTTGATACAAGTTCAGTTGTCATCTCATACGTCTAGAAGAGGTATTAGCCACCGCTCGGGCACTTCAACATGACTTAGTTTCTGTATTAAAAAGAAATAAAAGAAATTCGTCTGAAAATAATTTTTTCTCCCAAAATACTTGGCGTGGAAGGGGCTAAACAATATATTTTTTATGTATATCATAGGCTTTCAGGATATGAGCGACCCCGACTTCCTATGTTGCGATGTGGGTTATCTTTTTTCGTCTCACCATACCCGGGAGAGTCCTTGGGCACTTCGACGTGGAGTAATCGTTTACAAGTTTTTCTCGCTACATCAGTTACGACTGAGTTCGATCCCAACTTGGAGCTCCATACTTTCAAACATCTGCCTCACCTAAGCTATGCTTAGTGAATTGTTGGGCACTTCGATGTGGTGTAATGATTTTTCAAGTTTCTTTCGCTTGGTTAATTAAGTGGTGAGTTCGATCCTCACTGGGTGCTCCATACTGTTGGCCTTGTGCCACAACTAAGCTATGCTTATTAAATCGCTATATCGAAGAGTCCATGAGAAAGATTTAAGGAAAATCAGAGAAGATGCTATTAGACAAAAAAAAAACAAAAACAAAAAACAAAAAAACAAACAAAAATCAAAAGGAAAACACTAAAAACGCGTGTAAAATAAATTTTATATAACAATGTATTTACAGGTGCGTGGATTATAGAATCTTACAATTTTCGTAGATTAAATTGTTGATTGATTGATTCGTTTTCTACGGCTTATCCACCCTTTGCAAGTTATTTAAAGCCAGAAAATATTTTTAGATTGTAAAGATTTTAGTGATACAGCTCTTACTAATTAACCCATAGCTGGGAGGGAGAAGAGGTCGATTCATACCTAATCAGAATTTGATACATAATCAAGAAATTATAGGATGAACATAAAAAAGGGGGAGCAATTCTATATTAAATTAATATATAAACTGATCCCTCACTTTGTTACCAAGGTAGTTTCTATCCATTAATATTTGAGAGAATGTAAATAAATCTAAAAAATACCTGTGAAGCTAATCAGTATTTGATTGATTTGAATTTTACGGCTTATCAACCCTTTGTAGATCATTTAAAGCTAGAAAATATTACATTGTAAGAATTTTTTTTTAGATAATAATGATTTGGTGATAGACGCCTTACTAATTAATCCATAGCTGGAGGGAGAAAAGGTCGATTCACATCTAGTCAGAATTTGATACACAATCAAGGGATTATAACGTGAACATAAAATGGGAGAGCAATTCTATATTAAATCAGTATATAAATTTATCCCTCACTTTGTGGCCAAGGTAGTTTCTATATATTGATACTTGAGAGAATGTAAATAAATCTAAAAAAAAAAAAAATACCCGTGTAGCTAATCTGTATTTGATTGATTTGTGTCCAACGGCTTATCAACCCTTTTCAGATTATTTAGAGCCAGATTTTTAGATTGTAAGAAGTTTTTTTGAGATTTTTTTAAAGCAATTCACCCCAGGCAAGGCAGGAGTGCCACTAGCACGCAAGGGGTTACAGAGTCGATTGAGAACAAGAATAAAGAGGCGTGTTTGGGGAAAGGTTACAGAGAAGGACTGGGAACAACATCAAGAAGATGTTGATTGACATTACACCTGAATATTTGAAGATTATAGTTATCAGGGAACCAAGTAAGAGGAAGGGAGTACCGCAGACGGGAAGTGCAAGAGAAGAAACTGTTTGAGTAGAAGAGACGGTTACATTAACCATTTTGACAGTGAAAGAGTGGGATCAAGACGCCGTGAAAATAATTGTAGAAGAGACAGAGAGAAGCCACGGCACGTCTGTGAGAAAGCGACTGTAGACAAGATACCAGATCAGGACCATAATAATTTAGCGATACGAGTCTTAGTAATTGACCCATTAACGAAGGAGGTGGAGAAAAGGTGGATTCATACCCTTCCCAAGGGTATTTCACGCGTAAATGAATATAACAAACCCAACTGGAATTGGAACTCTGCTCTCTGATTAACAATTTCAAGCCATTATCCATTACGCCAAACACCAATCCAATTTTAAAGCACCTGATATTTCCGAGCGGTAACCCTTCTAAGTGCTAACCAGACTCGTCATTGCTTAACTTCGGTGATCATACGTGAACCGGTGTTTCAACGTTATGTGGCAGTAATACTCGAAGATTAAAGTCATTGAATATATGAAATAAGTATACTAATGTGCATTTTTTTCATATATATATATATATATATATATATATATATATATATATATATATATATATATATATATATATATATCCGTCCTGGGTATGACGATAGACTACATCCGCGTCCTGGGTAAGATGATAAACTATGTCCAACAACAAGGCCTCTGATCAGGCGGTTTTGAGGAGCGTGGAACCACCTCTTAATTGCTGGTGTTCCCAGGTCCGCCCTGACCCGGGGTGGTAGCACCTGTTAGGGTCCCAGCTATGGGCAAATAGTTAAACTGGGGTCAAAACAACTATGAAAGTGTAAAAACAGGTTTTAATACCAGAAATACTTTGTCAAAAATTTATTTCTAGCAATAAATTTTTAAAGAACAAAAACTATTACCAGCTATACATTTTTGAAAAAATAAAAAATTATTACCAGAAATAGATTTTTGGCAAAACAAAATATTACCAGTTGTGCTTGTTTTGCTATACTTGACTATGCAGCTAAATTTATTGTAAAACATAATGTACCCACTACAGGAGAGTCTGCTGAAAGAATTTTAGAAACTTATTCTCCAAAATATGTTTTTATTTGTGAACAACACACTGAAAAAGGAATTAATTTTGAAGCAAAAATTGCTGTGAATATATTTTATAACAACAAACGAAAGTTTTCATCGGATGAAGTTCGAAAAAATATTGTAGAATGTTTTTAGAAAAAGGCAAAGAACAAAAGAAAATTGATTTATAAAAAAACTGTTGGTAAGTTTTTTTTTTACTTGTATTTGTTTTGTATTACTGCTTAATTCTTTAATAACTTCTTTATAATCTTTTATTATTACTAAAATTATTACTCTGATAATTATTCATTTATACTATTATTATTATTCTAGTTAAAAAGAGTAAAAAACAACCTGTTTGTGCATTTTTGGACGGTTTTAACAAATTTTAGATAAAGCAGACATAAATTAAACTTGAAATATTGTGTAATTGTGTTATGATGTTGATTTGGGGTTAATAGAGACAAACGCCAAATAACACGTAACAATAAAAAGGGTTTTAATAGGTTGGTAAATAGGTACAGAAATCGCCTGAGTAATCAATAACTAGCTCAGCTAAGAACGGCTCTGTCTTTTGACATGCCACTATTTAAAGTCTTTGTTTGTAGACAAGTTCATCTTCAAGAGGGGTGGTAGGTTTTCTGCACAACAAATTGGCTCTAATTTTATGTAAATTACTTGGATATGATATAATGAATAATTTGCCGTGAAAAAAGAATTTTTCTTTTTTTTGTTGAATACGCCCCTATAATAAATAAAAATTAACAAAAAAATTATTAAATGTGAAATAGCATTGATTACAAAGAATGAGATGGTCATGAAATTTACCGTAAATTGCGGCGTAAAACAGACAAATTAACTATAAACCACAAATAGGCCTGCTAGAAAAAAGCCTGCGACATGTAGGGTAGTATATATTAGTGGGCTGTGGTTCCTACTTTAGCGTATTGTCTATCGTAGTTTCTGTAGTCTACGCTGTAAAATGAACTTTAACGTGAGTTCTCCATTTCATGATATGAATTTATTACATTTTTATCCTTTTGACCTGAGTGCTCAATATAAAATGCCCCTTAGCGTGCGGTCTAAATCGTGTGCTTCCCTTATTTCTACCCTTTTAATCCGAATACTAACCCTAACCTTAACCCCAACCCTGTAGCGCCAATGAATTCCATCATTCAGTCAGTTATGTACCACGCGGGATACACGCTTAGGCGATCATGTGATTTTTTTCTCGCAGTAGGTTGCCATTTCTTTCTACGGTAGACCAGTTGCCATCCAAGGCTATAGAACCTGGCCTGTCCTATTTTACGTGCCATGCGTGATACCGCTTAGCGATCATGGGGACTGACGGGAGATTTTTTTTCTCGCAGAGGTTGCCATTTTTTTTAGAACAGTTGCCATCCAAGGCTATAGAACCCGGCCTGTCCTGTTATTTTACGTGGCATGCGTGATACACGCTTAGGCGAATGTATCTTTGAATGACTGACGAGGCAGATTTTTTTTCTCGCATAGGTTGATTTCTGCGGTAGACCAGTTGCCATCCAAGGCTATAGAACCCGGCCTGTCCGATTTTTACGTGCCATGCTTCTTAGGCGATCATGTATCTTTCGATACATGACTGACGAGGCAGATTTTTTCTCGCTATGCCATTTCTTTCTACGGTAGAACAGTTGCCATCCAAGGCTATAGAACCTGGCCTGTCCTGCTATTTACCATAGCTGGGGGTAGGGGAGAAGAAGAGGATTTATACCTTTCCCAAGGTTATTAGCATGTAAGTGAATGTAATGGATTCGACTGGAATTCGAACTCGGCTCTCCGATTCTTCAGTCCGAGCCGATATCCATTATTCCACCGTGGTGAAATCTTTTAAAAGCCGGTGCGCAAATTTACTGTGGATGACTTTGCGATCAAGGCACCCTCTAGACATTTTCGTCTTAGTGAATTGTTCTCTCATTTGATCCGAGTAACAGTTTTATGTCAAAATACCGTAACGAGACTGACTCCAATTTTGACATTAAAATGCTACTCTGATCAAAGGAGAAAACAATTCACTTTTGACGAAAATGCCATGATCACAAGGTCACCCAATATATATATATATATATATATATATATATATATATATATATATTAAGTGAAGGTGATAATTGTGTTATTGTTTTGATAATGGCTACACGTTTAGTTGAAAGCGCTCGGAATTGCATAACATTTGAACAATTTCTACACACTCTGTGTCCAGAAAAGAAAACACTTGTTCGAACACAAGAAAAATTAAATAAAAAGTTTTATCGCAATAACTTGTCTGTCGTTTTTAATGAAACGTGTATAAAAGAGCGATTGCCATATATATTGTCGGATTTACTCGATTTCATAATATATATATATATATATATATATATATAGTTATACTAATATGGAAAAATCTTAGGTATTTTGGCTTGTAATTGAACAAACCAATGCCCAAGGGAAAATAAGGGATAGGTTCTCACACACACACACACACACACACACACACACACACACATATATATATATATATATATATATATATATATGTATATATATATATAATGTCATCCACAGACAGACTGTTTCGCTGTATTACATCTCATCAGTGTGGCTAGACGTCGGGTTGCCTCTAGTTATGATCGAAGCCCGACTGAATCGGCGTCAGTCGGGCTTCGATTCTACCACTAAGCCGTCGGCGCACGGCAGGGATGAAGGTGAATTTAAGCGTATTTATTTTTTAGATAAACACACAGTGACCGACAGGACTCGATTCGCTTTACCGGAGAGTTTCGCTATATCAGTCATAATTGTCACTGTTTACAAACTCACACTTCCTTCCCCAGAGAGCTCAACCGAAATTAATTTTTCAGGAGCCTATATAATGTCATCCACAGACAATTTCGTTGTATCACAGTTCATCAGTGTGGCTAGATATCTGATTGTCACAAGCCGGGATCGAAACCCGATTGATTTTGCATCAATCGTAGATTTTACCCCTGAGCTATCAGAGGAAGGCGGACTTTTACATACTTATTCTTCGAATAAATACGCCAATGGCCGAGAGAGCTCAATTCATGGAAGAGCTTTGCAGTATTAGCAGCAGTAGTCATTGTTTACAAATTCCTAATTTTCTGCTTTCCTCTTTTATTTTATCATGCTATTCATGCACAAGTTACAAATCCTGCCAGGAAAGTTGAGTGACTGTGTCCTCCCAGAGCTCTTTTCTCGTCAGAAACCATCTTGCACATTTATAATTTGCTATATATAATATATATATATATATATATATATATATATATATATATATATATATATGCTTATAAATTTACTACCATTTGCACATTAAATATTACTGCTACATATGGTCTGGCGCTCCTGCTATTCACTTCGAGGTTCTTGAAAAAATCCAAAGAAGGATCTACAATGTAATCGATACTGACTGGACATCTCGACTTCAGTCATTTTCTCACTGACGTGACGTGGCTTTCATCTGTCTTTTCTACAAATATTTTCATGGCAGCTGCTCTGAAGAGCTTTTTACCCTGGTGCCCCGACTTCATGAATTTAAGCGTGCTACTAGATTGGCATCCAAGTCCCACCCCTTTACTGTTGAAATAGTTAAATATAACCGCCACTTCTGTTGTCATTTGGTTATATTTTCAAAATGGAGATGTAGATAGTGTAACATTTATTGACGTGCAAAGTGAAATCCCCCTAACAAGTTAAAATTCCAGTTGATTCTATTTCGTTCACATCGCGCTAATACCATTGAAAAATTAATAAATATGGGTTAAAGAGTAGAGTCTAAATTAGGATTTTCTCCGTCAGGTTAAGTTGCCCAAGATACACCACTGCTGCGAAACGCTTCTTCGGCCAAGTGACAATTATTTCAAAAAATCATTTTTTATTACGTTCTAAATTCTCATCGATGTCTTATTGCTGACGTAGCATTTACTCGACCAATTCTTTTGTAATCATAACGCTTGCAATCGCCATTTCAATTTCAATTGCAGAGAAGCGAATTTTTCTTGTTATGACAATCAAACGATGCAAACAGGAATTCTTGCATAGCCTTTCACTGAGGTAATGCGACAACATAATGAAATGAAATGGCTGAAAATTCTAATGAAAACAGCAAGAAGAAGCTAAGCAAAGTATTAAGAAACAGGAAAAATTCATTAGAAACAAAGAATTTGTTTGTTGAACGGCATATCAACTCTTTATAGGTTATTTAATGCCGAAATTTATTTTTCCTGGGAGAATTGAAGTGATAAAAATAGGATATATGTCATTATGCTTTCGTACTTGAATACATGGTAGATGATACTCAGCTTTTGTGCATATACATGTTTGTGGGGACATGATTACCCGAGGTGGTGATATGTGAATTTTTTTGTTGCAGTTATATTTTTGAATACAGTTTTATTTCTTTAAGAAATTGTAGAATATTATATAGATTAATATAACAAATGAGTTCTTTCATGTTGATTGATTCGTTCATTTTTTTTAATTTTTAGCAGCTTATTAACACCTCTGGAAACAGAATGTTATTTAAATATATTTTGCCAATTGAATCAACTAAATATGTATTTTGGTTAACAGAATTTGAATGAATATTTGACTTCAACTAAATATATTTTGAACGCAATTGCATGCCTTCAACTACAACTAAAATGTATTGTTGGTTAATTTTTCTTTGAACAGAATATTATGACTTCAACTAAATATATTTTGAACGCAATTGCATGCCTTCAACTACAACTAAAATGTATTGTTGGTTAATTTTTCTTTGAACAGAATATTATGACTTCAACTAAATATATTTTAAATAAAATGTATTGTTGGTTAATTTTTTTTGAACAGAATATTAACTTCAACTAAATATATTTTGAACGCAATTGCATGCCTTCAACTGAACAACTAAAAATGTATTGACTTCAACTAAATATATTTTTGGTTAATTTTTTTGAACAGAATATTTGACTTCAACTAAATATAGAGAATATTATGACTAAAATGTATTGTTGGTTAATTTTTCTTTCAACTAAATAAATATATTTTGAACGCAATTGCATGCCTTCAACTACAACTAAAATGTATTGTTGGTTAATTTTTCTTTGAACAGAATATTATGACTTCAACTAAATATATTTTGAACGCAATTGCATGCCTTCAACTACAACTAAAATGTATTGTTGGTTAATTTTTCTTTGAAGAGAATATTATGACTTCAACTAAATATATTTTGAACGCAATTGCATGCCTTCAACTACAACTAAAATGTATTGTTGGTTAATTTTTCTTTTGAAAGAATAGAATAAATATATTTTGATGCCTTCAACTAAATATATTTTTTTTTGAACTAAATATATTTTGAACGCAATTGCATGCCTTCAACTACAACTAAAATGTATTGTTGGTTAATTTTTCTTTGAGAAGAATAAATATATTATGCCTTCAACTAAATAAAATATTTTGAACGAACAGAAATTGCATTTTGCCTTCAACTACAACTAAAATGTATTGTTGGTTAATTTTTCTTTGAACAGAATATTTTCTTTGAACAGAATATTATTGATGCCTTCAACTAAATATGTATTGTTGGTTAATTTTTTTTGAACAGAAATTTGCATGCCTTCAACTACAACTAAAAAATTGTAATTGAACAGAATATTTGACTTCAACTAAATATATTTTAATTGCATTTTACAACTAAAATGTATTTTGAAGAGAATATTCAATAAATATATTTTAAATATATTTTGAACTTTGAACAGCAACTGCATGCCTTCAACTATAAATAAAATTAATTGTTGGTAATTTTCCTATAAAAATGTATTTTTGAACTTTCATAGTTTTGTCTTTGTATTGGGATTTAGTATTCATCCATAGCTGGGACCCTAACAGGTGCTACCACCCATGGTCAGAGTGGACATGAGAATAACAGCAATTAAGAGGTGGTTTCACGTCCCCCAAAAAACTCCATCCTCCCAACCAGAGTTCCTTGCTCTCCGATTCCTCAATATGAGCCCCTATCCATTACTACACCGTACCAAAAGGACCCTGAGAATACCATGCACTGAGTGAGTGAGCGATGATGAAGTTTTAGGGAAAGTGAAAACAAAAGGACGCTTATACTTAATATCAGCCAGAGAGAACTGAAATTTCTATGCGACATAATGTGGAAAGAAGTTTTGGAAAATTTGATACTCACAGGACAGATTGAAAGTAAAGAGGGACATAGAAAGACTGTATAAGCTATCGAGCGAGATTGCGCAAACAGAACAGGGATCAGGAGTTATAGCAAAAAGACAAACATTAGTACGAGCTACAAAGAAGAAAGAAGTCGTGGAGAGCCAAGATCGCCCATGTCCTGAAAGGGCACGGCATATAGAAAAAGAGGTACTATGAAATAGAATTAACAATTACCATTAAAAAAGAAATATTTTGAAAATAGAATGCCGGATACAACATAAAAATAAGCAAATAGAGGAAAGACGTATCTGGACATTGAAGCGTTTAAAAATTTATAAAATTATCTAGTTATCCTCAAGAACAAAAAATTGGTGATATTTGTTAGATGCGATGCAAAGGTATGCGTTAATCTGGTGGTGCTTACTAAATGGCCACTTTTCTTTGCATTCCATATCACATGCTTTTACTTTTTTTTTTTTCATTTTACGATCTCACTTTTTACTTTCTTTTTCACTTCAATTATTATATCGTTATTAATCCTCCTTTCTTTCTTTTCTCTCTTGCCTCTTTTTCACTTTAATTTCAATTGTTATTTTGTAATGTATTTATCCTTTCGTTCGTTCGTTCCTTCTTTCCTTCCATCTTTTCATTTTAAAATGTTACAGATTTCCTTTCTTTTTCACTTTTTAATACTCCGTTGCGATTAGATCCTTTTAGATGTGAACACCACGAAACCAAAGAACAAAATAAAAAAAAAAGTCGTTTTCTGCGCATAGGCTCCGAGCATAACATTGGGCCCACGAGGCAAGTGCCGGCAATGAAAGCGACACTGGTCAGTCGTCAACGTCCCCACTGAAAAGATATCCCTGGAGACTGCCAGATCTGCTTAAAAGAATGTTTCCCATAATGATTACTAGTAGTTGCGGGCCGGCAAGCTACCAACCGATAAGCAGGATGCTGCCACTACCACCGATATGACAGCTCCTTTTAAGGAGAGTTGCCACTCCTAAAGCTTGACTAATCATCTGACTCTTCACATATGAGATCCAGAATGTCATCTTAATGTCGTCACCATCCATCTGCAAGCCTTCCACGTGGCTAACGCCGTCACCTCGATAAACCCGACTCACTACAGCGCCTGACTATCCAATTTCGAAACCGCCAGGTTCCAATCGCCAACCGTCGCGATTGATAACATCTCAACATTGACAGCACCTAGCTACAAGCCTTCCTCCTTGCCACTGCTGTCACCTCTCATAGCCAGTCCGCAAGCAAGTGACTCCGACTCCGCAAGCAAGCAAGCGACTCCGACTCTGCAAGCAAACGACTCCGAGTCCGCAAGCAAGCCACTCCCAGTCCGCAAGCAAGCCACTCCGAATCCGCAAGCATGCAACCCAATCGTGCTACCATTGTTTCGTAGAAACACAGGCCTACCAGCAGGCATTGACTCCGACTCCACAAATAAGCGACTCCGACTCCGCGAACAAGCAACTCCGACTCTGCACGCATGCCACCCACTCGTGCTACCACTGTTTCGTTTTTGTTTCAGGCCTACTACCAAGCATTGACTACGACCCTGCAAGGAAGGGACTCTGACTCTGCACGCATGCATCCCACTCGTGCCATTACCATTTCATGGAAGCCAATCACTCGTCACCTTGTCAACCAATGCATTTTCTACCAGTTGACTCAACAACGTTAACTCGATCAACCAACAATTGCGCGCGACCATATTCTGTAACCTCTGTCAAACCAACACAAGAAATTGGTCAACTCCCGGCGTTACTCTTACGCCTAATCGCCATCCTGACAATCAGCAATTGTAATCGGCATTTCACCGATTTTCAAACAACTTTTTAAGACACCCTATATATTAAACAAATACACGTTGTTCGCAAACTTATTCCTCGTTATTCCTTTCCTTTCGCAATTAAACGCTTATTATAACAAATTGTATATCTGTAATGAATTCCCCCTTTCTTTTTTTCGTCCGTTCGTTCTTTCCTCCATTCTTACTATGTATTAGGAAGTATGTATTGCCTCTTTTTCTCTTTAATTTCAATTATTATTCTGTAATGAATTTACACTTTCTTTCTTTCTTTCTTTCTTTCTTTCTTTCTTTTGTTCGTTCATTTTTTTCTTTCTTTCTTTTTTTTTTTTTACTATGCTCGTTAGTCTCTTTTTCGCTTTAATTTCAATTATTATTTTGAAATGAAATTCCCCTTTCGATTGGTCCTTCCTTTCTTTCTACGTTTCTTTCTTCCTTCGTTTCTTCTTCCTTCCTTCGTTCGTTCGTTCCTTCCTTTGTTTGTTCGTTCGTTCATTCCTTCATTCCTCTCCTTCCTTCTTCTCTTCTTTCGTTCGTTCGTTCGTTCCTTCCTTCCTTCCTTCCTCCCTGCCTTCCCGCCTTCCTTCCTTCATTCATTCCTTCCTTCATTCCTTCCTTCCTTTTTTCATTCCTTCCTCCCTTCCTTTGTTTGTTCGTTCCTTCATTCCTCTCCTTCCTTCTTCTCTTCCTTTCTTCCTTCATTCGTTCGTTCGTTCCTTCCTTCCTTCCATCTTCTCTCCCTTCGTTCGTTCGTTCGTTCTTTCCTTCCTTCATTCATTCATTCATTCGTTCGTTCGTTCCTTCCTTCCTTCCTTCCTTCGTTCCTCTCCTTCCTTCTTCTCTTCGTTCGTTCGTTCGTTCGTTCCTTTCTTCCTTCCTTCCTTCGTTCCTTCCTTCGTTCCTCTCCTTCCTTCTTCTCTTCCTTCCTTCTTCTCTTCGTTCGTTCGTTCGTTCGTTCGTTCCTTTGTTCGTTCGTTCCTTCCTTCATTCCTCTCCTTCCTTTTTCTCTTCGTTCGTTCCTTCGTTCCTCTCCTTCCTTAGTTCCTCTCCTTCCTTCTTCTCTTCCTTCCTTCCTTCCTTCCTTGTTTCTTTTTTACTATGCTTCCTAGTCTCCTTTTCATATTAATTTCAATTATTTTGTAATGAATTTCACCTTCCTTTCGTTCGTTCTTTTGTTCATATTACGATCTTATTATTTTCCTTACTTTTTCACTTCAATTATTATTTTTAATAAATATCCACTTTCTTTCTTTCTTTCTTTCTTTTCTTTCTTTCTTTCTTTCTTTCTTTCTTTGTTTTTGTATGCTTGTGTTCGTACCTACTTATGTACACTTACGTATTTGGTGAAATCGGCAAGAACTGAAAAAGGTTTGTTGACACCGTATGCATGTTGAATTGTCCTGTCGCCTCAGATTTGACAATTTGTCAAAATGGAGACGTTTTGTCCCTTACATGAAAGAAAAAAAAAAAATTCCACACTCTTGCAAGCGAAACTTCGAGAAAAAAAGTATCCACTTTCACATTCTTTACATTTCAAATGCACTCATAGACAGAGACATAATGTTTCTCTATCTCTCTCTCTATATATTTCTCTCGCATACAAACTCTGTCTTGTTTACGTACATTTTTAAAACATATATGACGGGAATAACGACCAAGAAACCCTATAAACAGATTTCTGGTCATGTCATCAGGTTTAGGAAAATTTTCTTTTTACAGTGGTGTTCATTCTGCACAAGGGCTGGGAGCCACTCGAGGTAGAAGGGTACAGAATAAGAGGCACAGCTTATGCGTATATCTGTGGAAGATAACGGTTAACCCGAGAATTGAACAAGTTAAGATTGTAGTGTTCGGGAAAACGGTGCTTTGTGGTAAGAAGCTGCTTAAGTGTTTGGCTGAACAGGGATTAGGAGATAAAGCAATAAGACACACTTTAGTAATGGCTACAAAGGAATGGAAGTTGTGGAGAACTATAATCGCCCACGCCCTGAAAGGTCATGGCACGTAGAAAAAGAAAAATGGGGAATGATGGGAACTATGGAGCATATGAGTATGGGTGGTAAGACATGCTTGGTCAGTATAAGTAGTACCCTACAACGTAACAACTACCCTGGGTACATGGCAGCAGCCCCCCAAAACAGGGATAGGCGGGTACAAGAGGAGGAGGACAACAACACTCAAAAAACAGTCTGCCTGCCTTATGTGAAGGGGTTATCAGAGAAAATACAAAAGATCTGGGGTATATGTAACATCAGGACAACCTACAAAAGCTGGACGACATTTCGTAGATATCTCTCCCGAGTAAGACGCCCCCCCCATAGAAGAGAACATGACTAATGACTGTGTGTACGCTATCCCGTGCAGCTGCGGAAAGAAATATAAAGGAAATGTCAATCGTTATCTACTGTCTTATTAATTCCTGTTCTTTTATTGTCCCTTCTCCTTAGTAGTTATTTTTTTCTCATATTTTTTAACAGCTCTCCGTACTTCCTTGCGTCGTATTGGCTTTATTGACTTGCTTTGGGTGAAATTATTAAAAAAAATATGACCACCATGCTACGTGTAACTCATCTTCATTCTCTTCCCATTGCATTGGTATGGACGAAGTCCCATTTTGTGTCCTCCCCAGAACTGTTATTTTATGGAACAGCCTCCCGAGGGGATGTTTCCCCAATTAATACAATCTTAACCTCTTCAAGTCAATAGTCAACGATTACGTATCCTATATATCCTCATAATATGTTCTTCTTATTACCTCATTATGCCCTCACAACAACTTAATTCAGTAGCCCTCTTGAGCGGCTCTTGGGCCTTATTGGGTGAACAATGGTATAAAAATACCACAGAGAAAATCACTACTCAATAGAAGTTTTAAGTTTCTGCCTCTTGTGCCGTACTGGTGAAACACGTTAATATACAGGGTACGGCAGAAATACTCCCCACATATACCTCCCATATAATGGTAAGGCAGTAAGAGGTATTTCTGGGAGGCATATGTGGGAAATATTTCTGCTGCACCCTATATTTTCCTCCTCAAAATAATTTTTTAATAAGAAGCCTAGCCAAATTCTACAAAGAAGGTTTTATAGCATAAGTATCACGGACATCTTATTCGTAAAGATAACATTTTCTTTCGATTTCTTGCACAAGAGATGCTGAAAGGTTCTCGATCTAACCAGCTTCTCAAAATCTGATCGCACGACCGAATATCTGAATTTTTTTTGGTGTGTGTGGGGGGTGGGGGGTGGTGGCGAACCCTTCTTAGTTGGGCTGAAAACTTTTATGCACTGTTTCGAACATTCGAATTTCTCCGGAATTCTCAAATCGTCACCCATTTGATTGTAACCAAAATTGAAATTTCTTAACTTAGCAAGTGCTTAGATTAGCACCAATGAAAAGGTTTTCGATTATCCGAAATGCTATCCAAAAGTACGTTGAAATTGAACACTGTACATTACCCAAGTGTAGTAAAGACACTTGCTGCTACCTTTTGTGAGCAGTAAACTTTACAGGCCAGCAGGAAAAAGACTATTTCGAAACTAGGTCATAGGTTAAGTAATTCGAATTTTGTTTTTGCATCTAATAGTCCATTTTCTTCTATAATAGCCGTAACGTGTGGTAACGAGTTGCATGAACCCGGCACCTTAAAACATATGTAAGAGAATATATATTTAAATTATAATATATTATTGATTCTTTTTCTACAGTATATGAACACTTTGCAGGTTATTTAAAGCCAGAAGATATTTTAGATTGTAAGAATTTGGGGGCGGGGAGATAATAATAGTTTACTGATATTAGTCTTACTAATTAACTCATAGCCTGGGGGAGAGGAAGAGGATTCATACCTTTTCACAGGGGTATTTACGCATAAGTAAATCTAAGGATCTGCACTGGGAATTTGAACTCGGCTCTCCGATTAACAATTCCGAGTCGTTAATCATTACACAACCCGCACATTCAAACTTACAGCAATTGGTATTCCCAAGCGGTCACCCATCTAGGTACTGACAGGACTCGACGTTGCTTAACTTCGGTGATCGTACGGGAATCGGTGTTTCAACGTGATGTGTCCGTAAGCGTGGTTTGGTTTGGTTTGGTTTGGTTTGGTTTGGTTTGGTTTGGTTTGGTTTGGTTTGGTTTGGTTTGGTTTGGTTTGGTTTGGTTTGGTTTGGTTTGGTTTGGTTTGGTTTGGTTTGGTTTGGTTTGGTTTGGTTTGGGACATATCAACACCCTAATTGGTTATTTAATGCCGACGAGATTTTTAGAAGATGTTGGTATGAAAAAAAAATGTATTCTTTGTAAGAAATCAATTTGTAGATCAGGTTTCATTGACGTATTTTTGTAAAGAGGGTTTTTTGTCGAAAGTCAAAATGTATTGCTGGTAATATTTTTTTCAGAAATTTATTGCTGTTATTTTTACTATAAAGAAATTATTTTTATGCTTTCATAGTGTTTTGATGTCTGTTTGGCGGCGGCGGGGGGGTTCTCTATTTGCCCATAGCTGGTACCCTAACAGGTGCTACCACCACGGGTTACTGTGGACCTGGGAGCAACAGCAATTAAAAAGTGGTTCCCCGCTTCGCAAACACTACCGAACAGAGGCCTTGCTGCCGGATGTAGTCTGTCGTCATACCCAGGACGACATAAGCTTAGAGGGGATAGAAGTGATAGATACAAGAAAGAAAAACCTGAAACTAGAGTTATTTTTCCATTGCCCTGGGGTAATACTTAAGGAATTTTTAAAAAATCGGTATCACTCCAAGAAAGACAGTAATGCCACTAAAACACAGGCTGTGGAAGAATTAGGAACAGAAACATTAATAATGAGCAGGAAGAGAAAAGAGTAATAAGGAGGACAGTAGATAGCAATTGACATTGCATTTAATTTTTGCAAATTAAAGTTGGCTGGAAATCTTGGAGTCGGAAGGGAGTCCCTCAAGCGAGAAGTGCAACAGAAGAAACTATTAGCATAGAATGTACGGCTACGTCTAGCTAGATATTGACGCCAGTCTATCACTGCGCTTAAATAAAAAAACAAAAAAAACAAAGAAGACTCTAGGTGCTATACCGAAGAGGTTATCCGGACAATTACCATGAAATGTACAGTAAAAGACAACCTTACAGAGTTTGAAAAGTGACTGAAGCCGAGCCGCTAGAGCAAGACCAATAATATTGCTGATTCTTCTTTGGATCATATCAAGGAGCTTAAGGTAAATAGCAGGAGAACCAGACCATACGTGGCAGCAATATCCTAAGCATAGACGAATGGTAGACTTATAGATATATAAGATAGATTCTGGAGAGAAAATTGTCTCGGTCGACACAGTGAACCGACTTTCTTAGCAGTTGACCTAGCAATGGATTCAGTATAGCCTTTCTACTTCCAGAGGACGTGAGCCCGAGAAGGCGCCTTAAGTCCTTTTCTTGGAGGATAGCATCAGCAATGCTTATGGAAAGCGGAGAGGGATCTCCCAGATTATTAATAGAAAGTTTAATTTTGGAGGCGTTAAAATTAACAAGTGATCTTTTGCCCCAGTTAACAACGGACTTGACGTTGTTTTGGACATCGGGTGCCATTTTGACCTTGTCGAACTGATCGAGCCAGATAACAAGTTGAGAGCTGATGTAATCAGGAAGGTCATTCATGAAAATAGAGTTAGACTAATGATGGTGCCCTGGGGCACACTTGCGTTAATGCGTTTGATATCCACCGGGCGTCTTCATTTTGCTGCTTTGTTCCAAATACAAGCTTAGCAAATAATTACTTTTTGGAGTGTGTGTGTGTGTGGGGGGGGGCGGACGTTTGATGAAGTACAGCCTAATTTAAATATTCACATGAAAGAAATTACTTCTGAGTTTGATTTTTAATTTATTCGAGGTACAATCAGTCAAATCGTAAGTTGAATTTCAATCAGAATAACGTATAATTTTCGGTCTAGATGATTAAAAAATTAACTCTTGTATTAAGTGCATTAACAAAGGAAGGGGATTATGCTGGGGAATAAATATTGTTATCATTATACTCTTGATCTGTTCAGAAAAGTGTTACCATCTTGGTTATTATTCTTACAACGTTTGGGCCGATTTAATCTCCTTAAATATAACA